GGGGAGAAGAGGGCTTGCCAAATAGGAATTACCAATGGCAATTATATTTACATACTGTTGAAAAAACTAGACATGCAGATTATCAGAAGCAGGAAGCAGCTGGCCCGAGAAGAAATGCACTTTTGGTGGTGCCCCGTCTCATGCATGGTCTGATAGGTCTTCAGCTTACTTTCGCCCTCTAACTCCAATGTTGTTTGTACTTGTGATGTCAGTGAGTGAGTCAATCCATTTAATTTATTTACCCATCCCCAATTTCCGGTTTGGTTAATTTGCCAGTTAGGTTAGGTTAGATTTTTACTACGTTATATTTATATCCTCAGATTCTCACACAGTACAGTTCTTCTGCTAAATGACTTTGGAGCCATTAGGTTACTTAATGTCGTAACTGTTTTGGCAGGGCTTACATAGAGTTGTGGTTGTGGCTTGGTTTCTTTATAGCCAATCATTTCATTCCAAGAACCCTAATGTTGTCTCGGATTATGCCCACTTCTTAATTTCTTATCATTTTCCATTTAGTAACTTTTCACGATTATCAAACTAATGCTACACAAAAGGGATCGATACCAGTGCATGTTTATTATATGAAGGGAAAGTACAGTACCAAATTAAGATATAAATTAATTAATTTAAGCTTTTTGTTCATACACTTAATCCTTTAGTTTGGTGCGCTAAAGTTTTAACTCTTTTAAACAATATATAATATATTCCTCAACTACCCATGTGTACAAAATTTCTGGTTTAAATCTATTTCATCGAATACCAAAAGTTGAATAATGAACTCGGGTTTGCAGTTGCTTCCAACCTGATAAAATCAAATGTGTATTATCCTTTTAGCTTTTCCTTGCTAAAGGAAATCAATATGAAGAATAAAAATCTTTAATCGTACGCTAATCAATCTCCTAATCAATCATATTATTCGGTTTTTAGTAAGGGTTACAACCAAAATTAGTGCTTTAAATAAAGGTTAATCTTTCATTTTCAGACTATAGCGCAGAGAATGAAATCAACATAGGAAATTGGCAAAAGAGGTAGGCAAACAATACACGGATTAATTGTTTTCTTCTCCTTTTTGTCTTTGATTAAGAAAAAGCAAAGTAGAATAGAGAGATATCATGTCTCAATTACTTTTCCAATAAGAGATATTATATGCTAAAAAGATTTTGCTTTAATAATCTTCAAATGTTAATAACATTGAAATTTCTTGATTCGGTGGTAGACATAAATTTAAAGTAGAGAATCAAAAGTTCCATTGAAGCTCTCGAAATAAGAAAAAAAATTGTATGGTTGTGATCAACCTGAATGGAATCTTTGCCCCCACCCCACAGTAATTCTTCAACTAGAAGAAGAAATTTTTTAAGGAAAAGTCACTTCTTAAGAATTGATATTTACACAATACATATCTATCAACTTTATTTTCCATTTTTTCTTCACTCTATTCTCAGTCATTAGGGGCCATACTCACACAATAAGCTGGCTCTATATGATTCTTTGCTTCTCGACATAATAATATCAAATCACTTTCACTAACAAAAATTGATGCTGGTTACTTCAGTTCAATTAATTCTATCTATTTGATCATTGTATTGGTAAAAAATCGTATTGGACTTGACGAGGTCCAACAACGAAATAAACATATTACGGCCCAGTGTTTTAATCAAATTCAGGTTGAGTCTATGTTTAAATTTACTTTGTGAATTGACCACTCTATGAGTTGGGTTATTCTACAAATTAAGCTAAATCGAATTCCAACTCATTAGTCCATAGCAGTCCCAAAATAAGAATTAGAATTCTATTTACTTTCCACTTTAGTCAAGATCTAGAACCTTACTTGAAGTGGTAACCCTAATCTGATATAGGCAAATGATAACACTTCTTTCATAATTGAGACTTATCTACCAAGTAGGACTCAGAGTTCTACTAGGACTCTAACCTCTTTGACTCAATATATAAACAGAGGTCAGACCTCTCATTATTCATGCAGAAATCACCCATAGCTTTATATCCTAAATTCTTACTTCCAAGAATCATGGCTTTTCCTCGCCATGAAGACCCTCAACCACAACAAAGTTGTGCTATGACCACTTTGTGTTAGTCTAGCTCTAGCCACATTATTACGGTAAACCCTTCCCGCTCTCAACCCTCACTAAATACCTTCAACCGTGCTGATTTGAACTTCGGAGTGCCTACGGCAGATACCACACTAGTGTCCCCTGAGCCTTCACGTTCCTTTATTCTCCTTGTGCAAGTCCATTAGATTGTCAGTAACTCACTTCTCACAAGATCCATCCCTTTTGAATCAACCATAAATTTTACTGTCTACAATCATTCAAAGGAGTTTTGTGAAAATTAAAGGCAATGTTTGTTGGAGTTGTCGACCATTTCAATAATAAGGGGTGAGGCAAACGCATTCGAAGGTCCTGCTATAGGATTTCTCTAAGTAATTAAATTCCTAATTGAGTTTGGGCTTAGGAATAGAGATCATATTAATATTGGGTTTTTCTCATTAAACTTAGTATATAAACTTATTATTCTCTCGTATAAGTGTGATAGCAAATTATATATAAATACATTCATTGTAACAAGAGAGGTGAAAATATATTTTGATAATATTGACTCTAGTGAATGTAACTCATTTTTGGGTGAATTAGAGTAAATCGCACGTGTGTTTTCTCTTTACTATTTATGTTGTTTGTGTATGATTGTAATTTACTTGTTTGGTTTCGATTACTCTATTGTTTCAATGTTGTAATTATACTTTCCTTAATAATTCATATTATAATCTTGCATGTGGCAGACAAGGCCTATTTCTTTTGAAGGTTGATTTCATTAATTACCCCGACCCCTCCATAGATACTGATAATTTTATTAAGGATAAGGATTAAGGTTTTTAGAGGATATCCTTAATTTGGATATTTACATACGCAGTGCTTCAATACTGTTCTCTTTTGGGATTGAGTTGGGGTTACTTGTAGAGTTTCCATAAGATAAAAACTTGCGGGACTAACATATTTTCTTTTCCTTTTCCGGAAATTTGTTTCTATCTTTCCTCGTTTATCAACTTTCAAGGCCGATCCTAAGTAATATCTTCATGCCAAGCTTAATTTCACTTCAATGACTTCATAGTTCATACATTATACCGAACTTGTTAGTAGGATTGATATTTTTTCTGGTGTCTTCTGATGTCTCATTTTATATTAGATCTCTCGTTCAAGTTAGACAACTTTATTTCCTTATTTAGGATTATATCATATAATATATATTTTTTAAATTTTTTATTTCTAAACTTACAAATTAAACCAAATATTTACCACTTTCACGTGAACAAATTCAATCCTAATTCTTCTTTATACTCATATCACTTGAACTCGCTATTATTATCTTTAAAAAGGAGCAATATGATCGTGTTATATATAATTTGCTAATATTATGTATAAGAAAAATCGTAGGTGACACTACCACACCTCATTATTTACATATTTATCAAACACATTAGTAGATATAAAAGTTTCTCTTGTATCTAAATCAAAACTTATCATATGCTACAACTCATTTCATTCAAAAGTTTGACATTTCATATCATAGAATTATCTTTTTTCTTTTGGTCGCAATTTTCATTGCTATAATCTAGAAAGTTTTTGGTATCCTACATCATCTTTATTTGTTCAATCATTTGTTGAACTGAATTTTTATGTACATAACATATATGAATGTGCTACGTCTTGTAGAGGATAATAACATTTGAAGACTCATAAAATAAAATAAAAAATCAAAGAAGTAAACAATTTGGTGTTATATAGTATGATATTGGTCTTCTTCTTGGTGCCTACTTGCGCTGCAACATGTTTTATACTAATGAGAAGAGTTTGGTACTACAGTTTCTATATATGGTTTAAGTAATCCTCCCTAAGTGAAAATATATTATTCGAAAAATTATGAACATCATCGGAAATGTAATATAATAAATGTTAATCTCAATTGGATTACATTGTAAAATTTTAAAACTAAATTGACTCAACTGAAATATCAATGACTAAAAATTAATGTTAAAATTAAATAATAAAATATAAACAATCTGAATTTGTGAGATTAAATTTTTTTTTTTTGAATTTTGAATTTTGAATTTTTAAATATCAAACCGCTCCTCTCATGTAGTATTGCAGTGAACTTTTTAGGCCCATCTGGCTTTTAAATGGCCCAGAAATCTAAATTGGTAACTTCATAAAGCATATAGGCCACTATGGCCTATCGTCTGTCAAGTCAACATAGTCATATTGGCGCAGCGCTGCAACGATATCAACGGCTGAAAACAAAGTGACACCGAATCTTTGAGCTGAGAGAATGACGTTTGTAAAGACTAGAAGGGTCATTATGTTGGAATATTTTGAAAGCCAGCATCAACATGATGATGTCTGGCCCCCAGCCATGTCACTTCTGAATGGTGAATGCTTTTCACAATCTAAATGGCTCAGAACCAAATCAAACTAATAGCAAACATATATAAATGACGGTCCTTGCTGGATGGACAACATTACCTTGATGACTCAGAAAAGAGGAATGGAATGGTGTCTGTTGGTTTCAGGTACAAGCAAAGAAAAGCGAAACAGCGCGTCTTCAATGGAGTACCCCACCAAAGGCTGCATATTTCTTTGGAAAAGCCTAAAGGGTGGCAAAAAGTCGGGTTGGCATGGCATTCACCTGTTTTCGAAGAATTTGGGCACAGGAGGAGCTTTTATCACTTCATAATGGTGTGATAATGGTTCATGTATTTCATTCGACTGGACACAATTCAATGGTTGAAAACACACCTACATGCTGTGTTCAATGTTCATTGCAATTAGTCTAATTATAATGATCTGAAGTAATAAAGTTATACTTTCTTCACCCATAAAAAGCACGGCTAAATGCAAACAGTAGAGCACTGAGGTATGTCTGCCTTTCTAAAGGCAAACAGCATGATCGGTTTGTCTTTGCTATCTTTAACACTTGATAACTTCTACAAAGATAGAAATGTGATGTGTTATATGTGCTATATCCAATTCTCAATTATTTCAATTCAGGTATTTCCATTAACAACTATACGAAAGAAGCTTGTACAGTACTAATTACATATGTTGATTTCAATCATGCTTCAACCTTACCAGCTGAAGTTCCAGTTTATGACACACCATACAACTATAAAGTTTTTAAAATCGAGAGATTACTTGTCATACTTTACATTTTCTTTTTCCTTGATTACAGCCGCCTATTAATGATAAAAGGCATCCTCTTGTCCTCTGATCTTGTGTTTGCCTGAATTAAAAACAAATGGGAAATCATTTCAAGTATATAAAGATGAAGTACCTGACTATATCATTAATGTCTGTATTATCTATGAGATACACCGGTGTCTCTGGAAATTCATTATTGAATTCATAGGTATAAATTATAGCACTTACAATGACTTGGATAACATTTTATCTGTAACTCAAGGAATCTTACTAAGTTCTTTGAGGTGAAGGCAGGAATATTACTAACCATTACCAAGTCACAAGATTCTGCTTTTACGGTCAAACAGCATATAGCCTCACAACCTGGTTAATTTTGGCACGGCAAACAGGGCAACCCCATTTTTTGGCTTTGACCTGATTCAAACAAGACATACATCCAGCCATGTGACCACAAGGTACACAAACCCCCTCAACTGGAGCATCCAAACATATCACACATGATCCACCTTCTTTATCTTCTTTCGTTTCACTTTTGCTTGCAGGCAATTCTTCAACCGGGGGGGAAGATATGTCAACAGGACCTAAGTCAATAGATGGGTATTGGATTGGACCATCTTCTATAATCTCATCTGTAACTGGAGGAGCTGACGGGTTTGCATCAGGGACATGAAATGTCTGGGTAACAGGCATGTTATTATTCTGGTTATGGGCCTGCTGAGATAAGTTGCTACTAGAGCTGGCTTCATGTTTTGCCCATTGATCACCACTTGCTTTTTGAGGGAAAGGAGTCACTGGTGTAACCAGACCATTTTGAGTATTAGCATTCATACTGTTATTCCAATTGGTGGATGAACTTGCTCCGTTACTGGGGTGGGGATCAAAATTTGGTGTCTCTCCAATAGCTGACTGGATGGAGGCATTGATTGCCATTGCTAATTCCATGTCTTCTGAATGTGGTGGAGCAGTTGCTTGAACAACAGGAGTCTCAGAATTATGCAGAAATGTGGGGCTCACCTAACGTTCCAGAAATTCAGGTCAAAAGCATTCTTAACAATGGAAAAGTAAATGCAAGGCAATTATACAGTAGGTAGGTTTAAAAAAAAAAAAAAAGAGAGAGAAAGAAAGAGATTGTAGGGTGAAAATGAGAAAAGAAACAGGAAATAAATTGAAGAGTTAGAAGGGGAGAGAATCAGGAAGTGGGGATAGAGAAAATAGATAGAATTGAAGGAAATAGTCAATATTCAATAACCTATTTGTGCAGTAGCCCAAACCTAAACAAAATAGGAAATATAATTCTACTTCAAACACCATAAAACCTACTCAAATAAGAAACCCTAATTAGGAAATGCAAATCTGACTTAGACAAGTAATTAATCAAACTCAAATAACATAAGGCAATATTATCTATTCACAGGTACACCAAGCTCTCTAAGTAAAAGATATTACTAATGCTGCCAATAGCTGAAATTTATGATTTCACTGAAGAAAACCCACATGAGTAAGTTCACCCATAATGTATTGAATTCAGCAACTGCTCTATAGTCTATACACAAGAAAAAGAAGAATAAAACTGTACCATAAAACACGTGCTCTACCTGTGGTATTCCTTTGCATGCATCACAAAAGCGCTGAAGTTGCTGCTTGTCACTTTCGTTTGCAGGTGCAAGTTTAAGACGTGTTTCTGGTAAGAAAGTACATTGAATTCAAGCAGACCACAAAATATATATTGATTCTCTAAGGAGTAAAATAAACATATTTCAGCTAATTCTGAGGATAAAGATGAAAGTTAACCCCCCCTCCCAACCATCTAAGTCTACTTTAACATAAAGGCAGGAGCATGGCGACGGTACAATTCAAATGTTACTAATTTCTTGTATTTACACGATAATTGAACTAATTTCATGACTATTTGTAATTGAAAGAATTCAACAGTTATTATACTTACGCCTAAGTGTTTGAGGCCTACACCTTCGTCTCCGTCTCCTACCTCTTGGGACTATGCATAAACATAACATTCAATTAAAAACTAATAGAGACTAGAATTGAGGGAATATCGACTTCCAAAATGCAGAATAAGCAGTTGCAAAATAAACATTCTAGCATCAAGAAATTACTGTTGGAGTTATCAACAATTATCACTGAAGGATCAGACTGATGAAACTTTGGTCCTTCCAAATTGGCTTTCCATAATGCAATAACTGTCCGTGGTTGGGGATCCTGCTCATTTATCAATTGCAGAATATAAGAAAAACAGAGGTCCATAATTCTAATTTTGGCAAAATGAGCCTGTTAGTTTAAGATTAAAAGAAAAACAATTCAAAACACAACATTTATATTTGTAAATGCAAGCAGGTCATAGTTAGATCAATTTAGAGCTATATCTGTAAACCCTCATAAGTATAATGGACAGAAAAACACTCTATACGACAGCTAACTAAGACGATTATTGTGGTATGATAACGATCACAAACTGTGACAATTTGCACAGACCATAAATGCTTTGTTCAAAACACCATAGAGTATTTTCAATATGTACGCACAGTAAGAATATAGGATGTCAAAGTCTTCGATACTACATGGCCCCAAGTGGCAATTCAAGCCAACAAATACAAATTAATATGTAGTAAATCATTGAACTGCCATTAAGTCATTGAATTGGTAGTAAGTTATTGAATTGCCACAATCATGTAGTAGCACTAGCTCTGTTGTTGCTAAATTCTGTATTGTTTTTTACAAATAAACTGCCTTGAAGAGGATGACGAGGAAGAGCATGAATGAAAAAAATGAAATATTACAAACTCAACAGAGGTTGGCACCAAGTACCGATCCTGAGAAGTGCACCTTGTGCAACAAAGAAAATTTGAAGTAAACAGTAATACAAAGCACCACACAACAATAAGCTACTTTCCTTATTTGTGGCACCAAGAAAGAACCCTAAGAATATGCATCAGTGAAATTCTGCAATAGAATGTAGTAATATAGAAAGAAACCCTGATCAATTCCTGTACATAAAGTACGGAGCAGATTGCACATACAGTCGATGAGCTAGATTCATTTAAAAATCTCATCTGACGAAAAGAATAAAATAAAATTTCAATACTTCAAACCCTCCATTCTAAATATGTAGAAACAAATGAAAATAACCATAGATAAGAAGTTAAACTCTAGATTGATTTTGGTTAACTCAACAACTGTCCTCTGGTAACAAAAGCCTAAACCCAAGCATCATAGTTCACAGCAATGAAGAAGTGGAGGTGGTTAAGTGAAGAAATTACAAAAAGAAAAGAAAAGAAAAAAGAAGACAAATCTGAATCTCAACAGTGATAATGTTAGATAAAAATCAAGCATTTCTGTAAGGCCATAAATATCTGTTGTCAAAAAAGTAGAGAGACGAATAATAAGATCTCTGACATGGAATTTAAATTCAATTTTCAAACAGCGAAGGACAAGCCTACGATTGTAATACCTGCAAACTAGGATATATGGCGAGCTCCAACCTGAAAGGCTTGGTGGGATTGCGAGAACCAGTAGGATAAATGACAACCCATCTGCAAACAATGCAATATTAAATACTACTTTGCAAGAAAATTCCTTGCTTAAGACAAAATATCAGGATTAAAAGTTTTGCATTAGTTTCATCAATGCAACCTATCCAGATATATTGTTCATATAGACAAAATCCTACTATAAAGATAAATAAGAAAGGAACATTGTTTCTACAATAGATTCTAAGAACTTGATACTCACACATTTCTTGAAAGCAACTGAGGAACAAGTATTTCCAGAAATCCTGGCCCATAGAACTCCCGCAACCAACCAGAGAATAAGCAGATATGACTCTATAAATCATCAGATAAAAATGTAGATTCAATTATCATCTTCTTCAACAAAAAAAACAGAAGGGAGAAATGCCCTGGAATAGCAGTGGACATAGAACAACAAAACATAGAAACTTTTTTCAAGCATACCTCAATTGCATGTACAACATTGATGTACCCTTTTCCCCTAGCAACTTCAAGAGGACTTTGACAGTCATCATTCATAAGTAATGCATTTGCTGAAAATTTGAACATATTACTTATTAACCTACTGAAGCAAAGGAAAACAGACATTTTTTGGCTCTAAGTTCAATTTTTAGAACACATTGCACAGCGCACCTCCATTTGAAAGAAGTAATTTAACAGTACTTTCAAGGCCTCTTTTCACCGCATGATGTAAAGGAGTCCCACCATGACGACCTAAAAACAGATCATAAATAAGAAGAAAAAAACAAAAAAAAAAAAAAAAAGGAATAGCAGAAGAAACCAAATACAAAATGAGAAAGCCTTCATCAAGAAAACTTAATAAGCTTACCATTTTGCATCTAAGGATTGTCTCTTTAAATAAATCTAGCACAAAATGAAAAGAATTTCCAACCATTTAAAGCCAAATCCTAGTAAGATGAAATTCAATTCCAGTTCTATAATAATTACAAAGCAAATTTACTAGTTATGTTACATTTAGGTGAAAAAAGAAAGAAAAATTCTCAACTTTTAAAACTCTGGTAAAGGCATGATATATAGTCCCAGATCAAAACAAAATGATATTATAGAACCTTAGTAAGCATGAGCAAAATCCCAAAATCTCTACTAAGATACTACGAGAAATTACAAACTAAACTAAGTAGAAAAAGTAAAAACGAACTCCTGTTCTAAATCTGTAAATTAAAGAGTACTCTTGAAAGCCAATATCATATATTTTTACAACATCAAACAGTTCATTTGTTGATTTTGCGTTCTACACTATACAGCTCAACTATCAATTGTTTCTTTTCTTTTACCATTCCACAATGGGGAATGCAGTCTATTATTGGTCGGATATTGGCCTCACAGATATTTCCAACAGTGAATGTTAAATTAGTAATTAAAAAAAAAAAAAATGAAAAGTTAATGTCAGACACAATCAATTTAGACTATTTAGTAACCTAAAACCATTACTTACAGTTTTCATCTTGTGTCCAATAACATAAAATCCACTTCCACAATAAATTCAGTAAAAATTCAAATAAACTAAAACAAACAATTAACACAATTTCGCACGAAACCAATAATTATAAAGCCGTACCAGGACGATAAGCATTAACATTAGCTCCAAGCTCAATCAAAGTTTTCGCCACATTATAAAGCTCAGGGTTCATACAAGCCACGATCAATGGAGTTTTACATTCTTTATCGATCCACTGCATATAATCATAAGTTTCTTATTAGAAAAACCTAAAAATTTAATTCAGCACCCATCGTTCAATTTGTAAAATTAAAATAAAAAAAAAAATATTAAACCTCTAAGCCTGCGCCGTCTCTGGCAAGAGCTTTGATGCCTTCGACGTTTCCATAATTCACTTGTTGATACAGCAACTCGTCCTTGGATTGCTGTTGCCCCATTCGGTTTGTTTCCAAGGAAAACTCCTCCGCGAAAGCTAGACTTAGCGGTTAAAAATGCAGAGAAAAATAATTAAAAAGAAAGAATAAATTATAAAATTTGATAAAATCTAGAATAGGAATAGATATCTTTTCTTAGCGAAGAAGGATTGATATTGAGTCAATGAATGAAATTTGTCTAATAATTAATTTGAGTGTGTGTAAGTTCTCTGGAGTTTAATTTGGGTGGGCTACCAGGTGAGGTGAGGTCTGACGTCGCTTTCTGGTGGGGTCAACCTACGACTTTATTAGTAGTGGTTGGCTGTGGCCTGTGTAAGAGAGGACTGAATTTAAATGTACGCGCAATCTACCGTATTTGCTACGGTAGAGATATACTATACTATACTATACTATATTACCCGATATTTTCATTTTATTAAATTAAATAATTATTTTATTTATTGAATACGAGAATATTTCAGAATAAGCTTCTCTATTAATATCCATTACAATAATAGTGTGATTTCTTGATAATTTCTTAGATAGTTCGTGGAATAGAAGGTATATATTTTTATAAAAATACTATATTTACAACTCAATCTTACGATCTTCTCTTACAACCTTAACGTGATTGTAGAGTTGATAATATCACATCAATTGACTACTTTGATTAAACATGGGCATTCCTTAAAGACGAATGATCGTTCCTTAAGGACAAACATTATTTTATTTATTGAATACGAGAATATTTCAGAATAAGCTTCTCTATTAATATCCATTACAATAATAGTGTGATTTCTTGATAATTTCTTAGATAGTTCGTGGAATAGAAGGTATATATTTTTATAAAAATACTATATTTACAACTCAATCTTACGATCTTCTCTTACAACCTTAACGTGATTGTAGAGTTGATAATATCACATCAATTGACTACTTTGATTAAACATGGGCATTCCTTAAAGACGAATGATCGTTCCTTAAGGACAAACATTATTTTATTTATTGAATACGAGAATATTTCAGAATAAGCTTCTCTATTAATATCCATTACAATAATAGTGTGATTTCTTGATAATTTCTTAGATAGTTCGTGGAATAGAAGGTATATATTTTTATAAAAATACTATATTTACAACTCAATCTTATGATCTTCTCTTACAACCTTAACGTGATTGTAGAGTTGATAATATCACATCAATTGACTACTTTGATTAAACATGGGCATTCCTTAAAGACGAATGATCGTTCCTTAAGGACAAACCGTATTTTATTTATTGAATACGAGAATATTTCAGAATAAGCTTCTCTATTAATATCCATTACAATAATAGTGTGATTTCTTGATAATTTCTTAGATAGTTCGTGGAATAGAAGGTATATATTTTTATAAAAATACTATATTTACAACTCAATCTTATGATCTTCTCTTACAACCTTAACGTGATTGTAGAGTTGATAATATCACATCAATTGACTACTTTGATTAAACATGGGCATTCCTTAAAGACGAATGATCGTTCCTTAAGGACAAACCGTTCATTCATAAGGAATGAATGTTCCTTGTGAAAGAACAACCATTCCTTATAAATAAACGATTGTTTTTTCGTAAAGAACACTCATTCTCGTTCGTATTTAATCAAAGTCATTTAGTGTTTTAGGTGTGGTGGGAGCTGACATGACAGTTACCAACTCAGTTGCTACATTGAGGTTGTAAGAGAAAGTTGTGATATTAGGTTGTGGACGTAGTATTACTCGTATTTTTAATGTTAACAAAATTGGATTAAACAATAATAACTAACTGCTATCTTAGAAAGTTCATATAATTGATTTTTTATTATTTTTAAAACAAAATAAAAATGTTCAAAGTATCATGAATTCCTTATTGCTAAACTACCTTCGAGTGGTTCGATAGGAATTTTTTGGTGTATTATTCAAGAGGTCTTGAATTCAAGTCTCTCATCAGATGCTAATAGGAGTAGTCACTATAACTCTTACTTGACTGATATTCCTTATTGCTTAGAGCTAAAATAATAAATGTGAGCAATCTTTATTCAATTTATCATATAGTTGAACATAAAAGTTTATTTTATTTTTCCTTATGAGAATTGTTCACAAAGAAATAAAAACCCCCCTTAATAATATCAAACAATCCTTTAATAAATTATCAAAAACCGCTGATAGGAGGTATTTAATACAGGATAGTAATACTATGTTTACAGGAGAAAAAAATAAATAAATCCAAACATAAGTGTTTAACTTCACACACAAGAATTACAAGTTTTCGAAGACATGGTCACATGGGATGAGAGAGACATTTCACCACAAAAGAATACCAACTAAAAACAACAATCACAGTAACTCATGCATGTTTAAGAAGATTTCTATTGTAAGAGACGAGAGATAAAGCTTTTAAACCCACCCCAAAAGAACGGGCAGCTGAAATATGGCAATGAATTTTATATATAAATTTCAAGAAGATAAACTATTTATTAAAAAAGAATGCCAAGGTATCATATGTCCTAATAAGTTTATCTAATGTACACCTACCAAGGTTGAGGTATAGAATTTCTGCTACTACAAGTCCCTCTCCCCTGAGAATGTGAAGTTTCTTCACCCCTTTTTTCTTCTCTGTTGATTACGTCAAGTTAGAATCTTCTATACCATTTTTCTTTATTTTGTGATAAGATCATCATTTCTCAATATTAATACAGATGTATGCGCGAGTAGTTGATTATGTATACTGTGCCGATGGAGAGCGACTGCTTGATCCTACTTACCAACTTTCTACATTAGATAGCAAGAGACTAAATTGTAAACTAAGGTTGAGAAGAAGATGGTGATGCATTTTCTGTATCCTCGGTAGGAACTGGATTAGAGGGCGACACATTGGGGGGTGTTGGATTAGAGGATGATGCAGTTGAAGCAGTTGCATTGCTGCTCGAATGATTGTACCTCTTAAGCACCCTGTCTTTGTTTCTACTCCACCACTCTTCTGCTTGTTGGGAGTCGAATCTTCTTTTACTGCATAAAAGTTTAAGAAAATATGTTAAATGAAATACAATCAAGTTTAGGACTGCTGTGCAATGTAACCAAGAAATGACAGGGCCGGGTGAGGTGATTGTGGGAACAACTATTGCCTCCAGAAGTCTCAAATCTTATTTGAATTTTTTCACCAAAGTTAGGTCCAGCTAGATAATATTGCTACTGAAATATATAGCAGGCTTATGTTGATCCATGCATGTATTTGCAGATGGACTATTGATTTTCAGCTTGATAAACCGTTTACTTAAATACCTGAATCTGACTCGTTTGAAGACTGCAGAACCATCTTGACGTTGAACAAAAGTGATATAAACACCAGGTTCAAATTGCTCTATACTTTCTCTTTCTCCAGGTGTTCCTGATGGTCTGGATTTATGAGGTAAAACCTCTCTTCCAGCATAATGGGACACATCTACTCTGTCTACTGTGTGGTTGCCTAGCATGCTAGAAGTCGCACTTTCCGAGGGATTTCCGTCGGGTGTATTATGGTGGTCATAGTCTGCATTGGATGGCAAATCAGAAGAGATTTCAGATGTTGGATTTGCTTCTACAAAAGCATTAGCTTGAGCACAGATTGCCTTCAATGATTCCTTATGATTAACATCAGCAGGCAAGTTGTCCATCATCTCTTTCAACTGGTTAAAAAGAAAGACAGCAAGTTCATGAACTAATTAGCATGTCATATTATAACTTACTAATGGTAAAACAAACTCAAAAAATTTAATGTGGTATCAAGAGTAATAATTTGGTAAATTGTTTTTGACAAATGTAAATACCAGATCTCTTTTATTAACCTTGTAGAAGGAATAAAATAGTAAGGATTTAATTTATGATTTATGCATAATGATGTAGTGGAAATTAGCAAGATGAGGATTCTAAGCTAGGGGGAGTAGGAATATATTTTTATGCTAAACTATAAAAAATAGAGTTATATAAACTACCTATAAATATTAATATATATCATAATATCTGTAGTTTTATGCTTGTATATCATAAAAAGGTTTTAAGTTTTCCATCATGTATTACAAGTTATTATACTTTATTATATTATTAAAATCTATGACGCACCTTAGTTATTGAGTAAATACATTTTGAATATTTAACTTTAATTTACCACGCATAATTAATTACCTGGTAATGAAACTACTAGATCAGTCTTAAACCATGCAATGGTTTTAGGAGTGTCTACCTGATCTGAGATGGAACTGACTAATTCCTTGGCAGATCTAAACTTGGAAGTTTCCCCTGTGGCAAATATAGTAGCATCATGAGCATTTTTGTGCAGCTTCTTATCTCCACGTCTTGAGTATCACACGCGCTTTAAACTTTTAATCTGAAGTCAGGGAGGAAATATAAAAGACATCAGGTTCATGGAAGGACAGATAAAGTATTGGTGGATGCTGAAATTTCAAGAGTAAAATTCTTACTTGGCTTGCAGTTTTGATACGTCTTGGTTAAGACCTCATTTGATTTCTTGAGTCTTTCAATACACTCCTAAAATCCAGCACGAGGAGGGCTTGGTCTTCTTGAGTATGGTGAAGCAGGTCTTGAGTTAACACCAGGCTGCTGCATCGTTGCCTGTTGTGGTGGCGTGACTACTGAGGTCGGCGGTATCACCATGGGCCACCAACCATTATTTAATCCACTCAATGTACTGGGAAATGCGACATCCTTCAGTTGTGTATGGTGGAACTTGGGATGCTCGAACTTGAAGAATCAGTTCTAGCCCCAGGCTTTCCTGACTTGATCTCAAGGTATTTGACTGCTTCTGTAAGAGGAGAAAACAGAACCCTTGAAGACCTTAATTGCTCTCCCCCTCTATTCTCTCTCGGCCATCAACTGAACGTCGTGGGGCAGTAATTTTCCTGCTAATATTGGACGTATTACCTGCCTCAGCAGCTAATTTTTGCATAACAAGCATCACACACACGATGTGGTTTTCCCGGTTGGAGCTAATGCTGCTCTCAGGCCTTTTTGGAACTACAAGCAGACAATTCACCAGCCCACAATTATAACAGTTGTGCCTCTTCTAGTAAAACCAAATGCTTGCCGGCAACCAGAGCAAACTGATTGGTCAGCTCCTGAGACCCACTATGTATGCATATACAAGAAGTAAAATTTGAGCCACACATGTTCTTCACATGTCTTCTTTCAGTGCTTCGATTACTGTGGGTTTTTCGTCATCTGTGTCCCCTGTCCCATCTTCCTTCGCACCTCTTCCCCAAGTCAATACTTCACTTCTCGATGTCAAACAGCAACATGATGTGCCCCACAAGAGTTCTTCAACAAATTCACCAACCAATTTTCTTGTACCGCAAGGCAGTTTTCCATCAGAATTTGGATTGCCTAGCTGACCATATGCAGTACTACCCATGATAAAGACATGGCCTGATGTAGTGAGGGCATGGTCATTGTATGTCCACATGTTAGCTGTGGAAATTGTAGTCATAAGGGATGAAAAACAGGTGGGAAGCAGATAAGTATCCTTGCTTCCAGTGCCCAATCTGTATTTGTCACCATCCCCCCATGAGACAATTTTCTAGACGACATATTTGCACCGAATGCCCTGTAACCTCTACAATAGCTCAGTATGCCATACTCCACAACAACTTTGATAGTTTTTAGTCCACTCAATATTGGACTTCTTTTGGGTATGTGAAACTTCTCCGATTTCCATGTCCTAAGAACCAAATGACCATCTCCAAACGTACAATTTCCATTGGCAGTGGCCAAGGCTGTATGCCATGTTCCACATGCAATAGATAAAACTTGTAGTCCTTCTAAAGGTCCACAAACTCTTTTTGGTATCCAGTGGCTAACATCAGTGCCATGACCAAGAAGTCCAACATTATGGGTACCATCACCCCAGTGAATAAATCACCAGCTATAGATCAGCACATGAATGATGCTCACCACATGCAACAAATCCACATTATTAACTGCCAGGAAGTCCACAAGTCGAGGACGACTAAAGTCCCTTTCAATTCCATGACCAAGTCCCCACCAGATTCCTCTCCCCAAGTGAAAACCTCACCTTGCCTTGTTACAAGAGCAACATGTCGCACACCACAAGCAATCTGCTGAACATCAAGAACTACATTTGATTCCAGGGCTTAGGAATCAGCACATCAATCTTCGTAGCTGTCAGCTAAGAGAACCATCAGAAGAACCCCATCAGACCAAACCTCACCCCATACACATCCCCTAGTGATTCTATGTCATCTGGACCGGATCCTCCACTTGAACAGCTAGGTGTGCTTGAAACACTAATCCGAAAACCATCTCCACCACTTGTTTCTAGTTGCATATTTGGATGTTCTGAAGCCACATCTGCACTTGCAAAATTTGAAAAAGAATGACGAATCAACGGATGATCTACCGCGAATACTATTACTTAAATCTAGAGGGAGCAAATGGCCGTCCACTTTGAATGATATCACCATGGTATCTGAAATAGAAACATAACTGCTTAAGTTAAATGTTTCAAAACTAATATCACCACAAGATACTTCAAATAATACGGGACAAGAGTATATTGCTCATATTCCGCAATTTTATATTGATAAAAGGATACAATAATATCTGTATAAAGAATCATCAGACTCAATTTAATTTCAAGCAAAATCTTGCTTAATCGGTACTCTTTACAGGCAGAATGTACAATACAACTTATTTGGTTCAAAGGTTGGTCGCTAAGCATACATTAAGCGAATTGTTCTTTCATTAACAATGTATTTTTCAGTTAAACAATCTAAGAACAGAAGACAATGGATCCAATGCTGAGTTTCATGGTATATTTCTAGACAAACCATATGCCTGTTCACTTATTAGTTAAAGCTCTCTGTATGATGCCAACTCAGGATTGTTTAGATTGTTGATATCAAAAGTTCTCTACACTCATTTTTTTTAATACAACAGTTTAGAAGTTGACTTAACTTCTTATGCATCAAAACATTAATGCAACTGAATGCCAAGTACTGATTAGATGATTGAAGATGAACTAACAATGCATGGTAATTATAGACCTATCACCAAGATGCTAATACTCTCCTTAGGGTTAAATTTGCGGATGGCATAGCATCTAGTATAAGTAGACCTCATTGCAGTGAATAATGAATCCAGCTGCCAATCATATTACTAAAAATTACGTTAAGTACTAATTTCACCCAACATTTTAGCAACAGTGAGAGGGTTACAATACAACCTTGCTTCTGACAATTATTTTAGCTAAGCCATCCAATTTTTATTTTTATTTTTTTCAATTTTTTAAGAAATAAATAGAGAAAATTATGTTGGGGATCAAATTTACAATTTCTTGGTGGAAAAACAAATAACAAACCTAGTGCCCGTGCATGCTATGCATCTCTATAATTCAAGAGTTGAAAGTAGAAGCCTTGCCTTCATCAACATTAATCAAACAAAACAGAACTTTCCAATTATAACACGAATAAAATACTCTTGCTGAAATGAAAACTCACTTCAGAAAGGTCACCCCTGGTACGTTTATTAGAATTGCTTCCAATTAATACCTTAAGGCCTACAAACCACCCCTGTCTCAGCTTTGTCCTTGCAGATCTGTGGATGGGAACAATAAGAGATAATCATTGAATTTCGACTTATCATCAAGCTGCAGAAGAAACGATAACTAAAAGTAATATTGTTTGTAGCACTAACCAGATCAAGAGATCTTTCACCGTTATTATATAAAGTGAAAATGACAAGTAATCTTTTTCAGGGCCAAATATCTTTTGAATACAGCCTGTCAAAATACAGTAAAGCATTGGCTATTATTGACATGTTACCTGTAAGTAACAAAAATCTTGGTAATTTAGCGCACAAAAGAAGGTAAACTGAAACAGAACATATATCTTCAATTAGCTTCAAAGAAAGGTGATTAACTCACGGTTCTCTGTCCAGGTATTATCCTTGAGACTGTTGATAACTTCAGAGTTTTTTCTTCTCCATGTATAACCAGATAAGAGTTGTTTCGTCCTGTTAAAACCACTAAAATTGAAATCATTATATACTTGAGAGTATTGACAGATTCATCGTCATAATTTGAGACAAACTGTGAAGATAGATGAAAAGTTAACTTTGCTTAAGCAGAACTCTGTCAATTATATGTAACTGCACGCACATAAACATATACCTACAAGCCTGATTTATCTGTAACCAAAAATGCAACAATGGAGCCAAATTTCATTAAAGATGCAATGTAGGTGTCCAAACATTTCAAAAATTAGGCGGTTAATACTGAATGGTTACTAATAGAAAATGACATTTAAATATATCCTGATAGCATCTATAGAACATATATATTTGTCATCAAGATTTTAATGATGGTTAACTGAAAAAGAATTAGGTTGCTTCTGAAAACCTATGTTTGTAAGAGTTGCAACATAAAATTTAAAAACGTAATGATACTAACAGCTGCGAGCAGTTATTTTGTATTAGCAATGTCATACCATCAATGCCTGAAAATTCCTCCTCATACTAAGGGAGGCTAAAACCGCCAGCATCCAGTCTAGAATTCTTCTATAGCACCACAACAATCTGATAAACATCAATTTGATGTCCTTTCAAGTTGTCTCACTTCAAGTTAAATTCTTCCCAGCAAATCTTTCTACACTCCATTAAAAAAGGCATGGCAGTCTCCCATGTATGTTTAATCCAATGTCCACTCAGGAATAAGTTTGATGGACAAGGGTAGATGTTAACAACATAATCTATTTAAACATCTAAGTAAATAAAACAAAAAAAAAAGAGTGTTTAAGAATCTCCTTCCTTTGTAGAACACTTTATCAGGAAACAGTTCAATGTTTTGTACAAACATGGTGATCCCAGAAGTGGCTGCAACGTCACTGTATTTATTGTTATCTCACTTTGAAAAAAAAAAAATAACTCACCGGAGAAAGTCTGAATGCACGAAATTTAGGTTTCCCTTTCCGGCTGTACTTGACTAACTGTGAACCTTTTTCAAAGCAATGAGAGCCTCAAAGAGAAAAAAAAAAAAAAAAAAAAATCAAAACTATATAGGAATACTCAAAATCATAATCTTAGGTAACAGCGAATACTCAAACTTCTTAAAGGTACAATTTCAGTCTCAATAACATAGAGAACAGGAAGATTTCTCTACCATCCAATATATTATAATTCACATTTTCTTCATGGTTACTTAACAAACTCTCAAGTGCATGTGCAATTAAAATTGTCAGAGACTAGTTATTGACAATGCAAGGCATGTGGATAGTGCTACACTAAGAGACAGCTCCACGGTTGAGGAATGGATAACTTAACATCAATAACTATTTCACTTCAAACAGAGTTTCCTGTTCTTATTTCCTTTTTTTTTTTTCTGACTTTTCAGTTAGACTTTTTCTCATTCATACCTAAGGCTCTCTATTTCAAGCATCTTGTCTCTCAAATTCCTTTTGTTCTTTTATTTGACAATGTATGTAAACCTATTCTGATTAAATCCTGCATTCCGACCATTATTTGTTTTCATCAAAATAATTCCATCATAATTTCCAGCCACTGTTCACCAATTAATCTGACTCTTTACAAGATTACATAATACTATCACAAATAGCTTAATTATCTAAATTCATCCATGAGCGAACTAAAATATTGAATAAAATAGGGACAGAATCTAATAAAATAAAAAAAAAAAAAAAAAAGAGAGAACTAACTTGCTCGATGTTACGCTCAGAATTTGCATAACTAACAAGATCTTCCATCCATGTGAAAAGGTTAAAAGGAAACCACCGAAGAAGAAGTCAACCACAACAACAACTGCAGAGGTGGTGGTGCGGCGGCGACTTTCGTGCCCCTGTCTTCTAGATGCATATATTTTTGTCTTTCTCTCATCAAATCAAATCTACCCATCAAGTATGAGTAAATGTTAATCAAACAACATGAAATAGAAATTGATCCGTTAGCATAATTAATTTAGACGTGAATTATCTAAGAAAATATTGATAATTGGGGAATCAATGCAGATGGAGATTGAAATGTTTGATTTTGTGAGAGAGAGAGACAGGCGAAATGAGAGGGAGGTAAGAGCTATGTTTGCCAGACATGCCGCGCTCTTTCCTTGCCTCCACGTTTTACACTAACTAATTTACTTCCTTTCAAATATATATATTATTTTATGCCACCTGGAATTTTCTAAAATTTCTATCTTATTTCTTAATTAAATGAATTTTTTTTTTTTCTTTTCGTGGGAGGGGCTCAACAGAATGAGTTATAGTAACAGATTGTAAGGAGATTTAGTAATTTTTACACCTCGTTGGTGGATAAAATTTCATGCAAACTGATTCAATGCCACGTGTTCTCCAAAGTGCTTTGTTGTCAGGATGCATGACAACACCCTAAAAGACAACATCATTAGATGCCAACACTTCTCAAAAGTCACGTGTCAATCTATATGTGAAGACGTTCATCTTTAAAGTTGTAAGTTGTCGTTTAAGCTATGTGCCAACTCATATGTGGACTATTTTATTTATAAACCAACGAATATATTGCCACATGTCTAGTTACATGTGGATTATTTCACACCAAGGGTCACCTTCAGAAGATTATAAATAGAGATCTTCCACCTCCAACCAAGGATCTTGCTTCTGATTTTCTGAAGAGACATAGAGCAGTTACCTGTTCAATGCAAATATCTTTTGTAAACACATCAATAAGATAACAGTGAATGTAAGAATTATGTTTTGCATCTAAACCACTTTAAAAACTGTTCTTATATATTATTTCATTTACTTTTACGCATTATCTTTATTATTGCCCGTGGGTTCAATATCATATTTCATTTTTCGGTCTCCCTTAGACCTTTTGCGCAAACTTCTTTGAAAGTTTGCGTACATCTCGTTTGTGTACATCTCGTTGGTATAAAAATATGCATCAACACACCTCAATAATATGCATCAACAGTTCAACACACCTCAATGTAACTAACGTAAAAAAAAAAACAATTTCAGTTCTGATATAAATTAAAGACGGATGATGTTTGATAAATTAACAGTTGAACTTGAAAAATAATTTCAGGCATAAGATACAGATAGTATGAAGATCATGTCAAAGATATCTATATATTAATTATCGAATCCAAGATTACATAATTTGAATGGGAAAGAATTGGAGATAAAGAATGAGCCTGAAAATTTTCTCAAGTTATTACTCTTAAAGGATAGCTGGATCTTTGTATCTCTTGAAAATGGTTTCAATATCTGCCATTACTTCTGCTGGCAACGGCCGCTCAGTTGTCACAAATGCATCAATATCTTCTTTTAGTTGATCGACAGAGGTTGCTCCAATGATTGAACTTGTCACAAATGGACGGTCTCGTGCAAATCCGAGTGCCAGTTGAACTGGGGTTAAACCGTGCTTCTTAGCCAACTCCATATATTTTATTGTTGCCTCCTGAAATCCAGAACCAAAATAATTAAATAGAACAAGCAATCTGAAACGTTTTCCACTCCTAATTGAGGAGTTTGATAAAATGAAAAAGCTCAGGGATCAGTTTACATTTTTTATTGACTGGTCAAGAGAGAAAATTCTCGAAGTAACTTTGAAAATTCCAAGTAGCATAAGTCCTTGCATTTGAGGGTGTTTAAAGCACGTAGAAATCTAACCTCCTTAATGACGAATTACTAATGATTAGATTATCAACATACCTTAGCAATTGATCTATTGTATCTTTCCATGTAACCAGGAAATAGGTTCAACCTTCCTCGTTTCGCAGCTTCAGAATTTATATCTAAATATTTTCCACTCAGTGCTCCACCAGCCAGTGGAGAATAAGCAAGTAAACCAATATTGCAATTATTTGGGTGGCAAACTTCAACAAGATTAACTGCGAAAAATCAATAGCACAGACAAACCGAAATTAGGCAATTGCAGCTTCAGTTCTTGAAACTTCAAAATCACTCCGATAAAGAAAATTTTTTATTCTTTCAAGCTTGTATTCTTGAATAAAGTTTCATACATCTTGAATTTTTCTTCATATATAATTATTTATAATGCCATAAAGATAAGATGATGGCATTTAAATCTATGTCTTCAGATCTAGGACTAGGTCAAAGCCATTACAATGTTAAAGTTAAAAGCTTTTTTCAATTCAAAATTCCAAACATTATATAGAATTACTTATCAAAAGACAATATTTATAGTGACCAGAATAAATAGATTGGATGATAAGATACATAGAGTCATAGACTATGCATCTAAAAAGAAATATAAATAAACAATAACATTAAAGCTTAAAAATCTCAGTCAAAAAGGCTAGATTTTCAAGCTTCCGTCTATGATGATTCAAAAAGATATTAGAAAGAACTTACTTTCAAAATGGCATCTAACTAGCAGACTGTAACTATTTTGGATACTAACAATCTTTGGTAGTCCTTCAACTTTAGCTGCATGAACGAACTCCATCACTCCATATGAAGTCTCATTGGAAACACCAATATACCGTACCTAGAAAAGTTCAAAAAGATGCATACCATATAAGCAATAATCATATAACTTTTCGAAGTTCATTATTCATTTCAAGTATAAAGAACATATCCACATTCGAAAAATATGAGTTTTCTGTCTTCCTTCAAGGTTTAAGGCCCTCAACAATTTCTTTCATCAAGAGATAAATCTCATGTGCACCAAAACAACTAAAATGCTATATTTACCATGTAAATACATGACAGGATAGGAACATTTAAGTTGTTCCAAACATAAAATCAGGTGATTTTCTTGGAAAGCTTACTAGACAGCTATTTGACATCTGAAGCAAAAGTCAAACTCAGTTTAGCAGGCATTACCTTCCCTTCCTCGATGAGGTCTTGAAAGGCCCTTAGTTGCTCCGCAAATGGCACACTTGGCCTCCATTTTGAATAATCATAGGTAAATTCACCAAATAATGCCACATAGCGATCTGGCCTGGAATGAAATTTGATAACAGAATAATTTATTTAAGAAATGTATTATTAACATTCTGGCTCAGATATTCCTTTTGGAAAACAACAGCATGCTGCTGCGACTGTTAGCACATATGATCATACATTAAGCAGACAAGAAGTAGACACTAAAAAATATTTGTCCACAAGGGAGTCAAACTGTTTTATTAGAGGAAACTGGCTAAAGATGATATGAATCTATTGAGAAACCCATTCCATTCATCTACTGTAATGCAAGGTCATCTAAAACTTGATTTCCTAACATTAACATTTCTATCTTGATCAGATAACATCTAAAGTACACTAGAATGTAACTACCCTCTAGCCCAACTAATAAAGTCTCCTAATTATCTTCCAGATAACTGAAATCAAATTTCACCTTCACCCAGGAAGACATTGTGTTAGGAAAGGAAGGTGACAGAAGGTAGCAGTGTCTATGTGACCCATTATCAAGAATCCTGCAGTAGTAGCCACTTCAGCAACTTTATGCAATATAAAGAATTTTCCACATATCATGCTATATAAGAGGAAGTCAGAATGAACCATCACAGCTTCAAGTTTTCATTTGAGTCAACTCAATGTGAAAAATAATCTTAAGGATAGAAAGTAATCAGTGGTAAATCTGTTTAAATATCCAGAACTCCTCTTGTAATTTCTCTATTATCATGTATCTCTCTCCTTTATCTCTTTAAATATGCAGAGATTTTTTTCTGTTGGAACTTGAATCTTGCAAGGAGAACTTAACTAGTCCATCAGTGCTTAACTGATCTGGACAGATGGTGTGTAATACAGAAATGGAATAAATGTGCACCAATAATGTCACAAAATCAAGAGACATTACCATCTGCAAAATTCTATATTCTAAGATGATTATTAATGTGCAAACTGTAAAGTTACCAGTGAATTTGCAATAAATCAATGTAATCTGTGTTGAGGCGTTTGAGGCTTTTCTCCACACTTTCTTTGATGTTAGCAGCATCAACCCGCAAAACTTTTGCATTGTCACGTATATAACTTGAACGCTCAGAGTAA